TGGTTCTTAATCCTCCCAGTCCCTGCCTTTGCCTTCTGCATCTTGGGCGGTGTGGCTGGAGTACTTGCCAGTGAAGAGTAAGGCAAAAAATTACATCAGCCTCCTCCATATCCCAGGTGACCAAATCTCCCACTTCCTTCCAGAGAGGGCTCACCTGTTTCCTAGTCTTCCTCTTATCACCGACATACCTATAGAAGTATTCTCATCATGCAGATAAAACAGCTTTACAGTCATGAGGAAATTGCGGGGGTCATGGAGATTTCACCAGCACAAGTGGTGAGGGTGAAAGGGATTCTAGATTTTCAGGGGAGTGAAGATAATGAACAAGACTACAGGAAAGCTGTAGGGTTTGTCAATCTCTGCGGGAAGCATTATTAGTGGGAATGTAGTGATTTCCTTGGGAAGAAGGAATAACTGAGAACATGGAGTAAATGAAGCCTTGAGGGCAGACAGAGGCAACAGAAGGTTCATCTTCACAGATGGCACTGGAGCCCACCCACCCCCCTCATCTCTGCCCGCTCGGGTATAAACCCTAGCTTCCCTCTAAGGTGTCCTTCCTCCCTTCAGCAGCAGCTACTTGTCAGTCTGAGACTGCATCCCAGCCTCTCCCCCCTGTGCCTTCTGGGCTGCTGCTCTGAGAACAGGCAGCTCTTGGACAGGTAACTCAGATGCATATGGGGCAAGGAGAGCTATAGTAATGGCCAACCTTCAGTGCAGACATACCAGCACCCACCACCTCTGCATGTGGGCTTCTAAGGCAAACACCATACTTGGCCTACATCTAAAGAAATTTCTGTCTTCCCATGTTCTGTGTGACAAGTGTCCTTCATCTACATTTGAACCATGATTATGAGCCTTTGTAGTCATTCTGTCCTCAGCCAGCTATCTAGAATTCCCTCTCAAACAATGAATTTCCAACTGTAAACAGAAATTATCTGAGTTATCCACCAAGCATTTGCATGCTTGGACACTGATCTCTTGCACTTTGTAAAGCTAAACTTCTTCTCATTTCTGCAAATCCAGTTGTCATCTGAACTGCAGCTATCTCCAAAACACTGACTCATTCCTTGGCATACTCCTACATTTTATGCCAGGGTCAACAGTGAAATACTAAAGATCTGAAGACATCTTTGACAAACAAATTTCCCCCTAGCCATTACCTCTCCTTTCGCCTCAGTCAGTAATCTCTCCCTTGCTCGATATCTTTTCTGTCTCGCAGTTCCTCACTGTTCATGTTTCAATAAATAATTTCTCATTTGGCACCATAATAAGTGCTTTATTAAAGTTCATATTGATTATATCTGCCGTGGTTTTTTTTTGCATTAAACACTTCACTCATCATTTTTTCAGAGATAGAGTTTGTTTGACAATATCTGTCTCTGTCAAGTCCATACAAAATTCCATGCGACTTCATTTACCTCCACATTTCTAATTGTTCTCTCCAGCAATATTTTTATCTAAGTATTTATAGATTGTTAAGTCAAAATAAAGGTCTTGCAGTGCTCATATTTAAGTAAAGGGGAAGAGTATCAGCAGTCATTCCATAGCCCCCATAAAACATCACTCCAACTAACAGACCTTGACATACATCTTGTAGTCACTAACATTTCATCCATGTTACGCTTCACTTTTGCTCTCATAGTCAGCTGATCATCCTTACTGATAAAAGAAACAGAATGTTAACATACCTTTCCGTCTATACCTAAGCTCTACACCTGAATCTCTCTAATGAAATTTCTCCTCCCTCAGTATTTCTCATTCCTTGTGTTCTTCTGTTCCTTTGGCTGAATAGCTGTTTGTTAAAACATCTCCTGTGATATCTAACTAACCCTTGCTTTTAGAGGTTTTCATTCTATCCTTTAAAGGTTTTCTTTGCTGATTAGCCAAGAAGGAATGGAACAGACTCCCTAACTCTAATTATTTCTGAAGAATGATAATTTCACCCAGTTAAACCAGGAAACACCTCTTACTGGTTTTGCTTGTGGCACTAGTTTCAGATAACTTTTTCTATGATAAAAGTAATCATGCTCCTCTCCCACATAACAAACCCTGAATTTCTCTGTCCAGCACCTTCCCTATTTGCTTTTCCCAGTTCTTCTAAACTTTCTGTTTTGAAACGGAAGACCTGAAACATATTACTAATACATTTTCATTTATGCTTCTGTTTAAATCAAAATGAATTAGCTTGTGAACACTCAATTCAACATGGTTTTTACAACTTTTTTTTTTTTTTTTAATAAAATTAATTTCTCTAGTAATCACAACTTGCCAACTATAGAGCAAAGTATTTAAGGCTGTCACATTGATAACAGTATTTGTTCCCCAACCTCCACCTCTGAATTTCTGTGAGTGAGTTATATCTTTGCTCATAACATTGCAGGAATCTATCCACGCTGAATCCTGTCTCTGGAGTATTCAGGTAGGTCTCTCTTCACCAACCAACACAGTTTCTTTTATTGTCCTTCCCCAGAGGATTTTGATCTAACAGCATTTATTTACCTATTCTGCTCCTTCTTGCAAGTCTGCAGCACGATTAATTAATAATTTTCTCTTTAAGGAGTTGTCAGTACATTTAATGAAGATATTGCATATTATTGCCACAGGCAAAAAGAAAAATTAGCTATGCAAAAGACTATAAATGTAATATCTAGCAGAGTTTGTGTTATTAGCAGGTGCTATAGCTCAGACAATCAAAAATAGTTATTGACATGATGAACTCTGTAATACTAGAAAAATATTTAGAAATGCACTGCAGCACCCCATAAAATGTTTTTTCACCTTAAATAAGGATGACACACTTGACCTCACAACTTCATATATCCATATTACAACTGTTTCTCAATATCTCATTGGTACCTTCAGAACAGACACAGATCCAAGACCTTGAAGCGGTTTTATACAGTGCAGCAGTGTATCCATAAACTATTAATATTGTTAAGGGCATGCAAATAAAATGTTATTTATTGCTGATCCATATGACACATGTAAGAAACATCCCTTAATTAGAATTAACCATAGGAACAAAGAGAAGACCACACACCTTATAAACTGTCATATCATTCTTTACTCCTCCACAAAAGAAATGATTGCTAGAGCATCTTTTCAAGGCTGTACTCATTCCCTTACAAAGAACATAATTTATCTATTGCTACTTGTCAAAACACTCTCTATGAAAATATTCACAAAATATAGGGAATATATGATCACAGATATGTAAACCAAGTGAACAAAACAAAAACTCCTCAAACATAAAACTTGTACTTTCCTTCTCAAAGAGAATCATTTAACTTAAAACATAAACATTATATTGATTAATATTTTAAAGTTATTCAGGGAAGAAAAATTAAATAAAAGAGGAAGAGCAATAAACCTAACCAGGAAAAGGGAATCAGGAAATAAAAGTTAGGACCATCTATTACAGTAGGATATGCTTTAGACAGAATTTCTTTGGATTTTCCTTTTAGATACATTTGTAGATAGGGATCTCAAAGCAAAAACTTCACTGGAACTATGAAAATTGTATTTTTCTTCCTTTCCTTTCCTTACTTCACCTATACATTAAATTGAACAGTTACTAGTTACTTATTTCTTACAAAAAACTTGTAGATCTGCATGATCAAACCCTTCAGTGAAGTTACTGTGGTCAGTCACAAACTGCTTAACATATCTGAAGTGTAAAACGTTGTAACATGAAATACCACACTTTAAAAAAATCCAACCTAGAATACTGTTCTAGCTACTTCCCTCTTCAAAACAAATACGCACTGACATAACAACAAAAAATGAACAAGAAAAAAATCTATTCCACTGTTGCAAAGTAGCTACCTCTACAACTGTAGCCACCAAGTGCTGGTATGTTATAAGATGTTAAGCTATCTGCTCTGTTTTACTAGATTTTTTTTTTCCGTTTATAATAATAGCTAGTAACATTACCAAGAAAGTAAAATCCTGGCGTAAGAATGGCTTGGGAATTCACATGACAACTCTACTTTTATTTCTTTAGACCTCCTCAGAGGTCAACAATATTCAGATCAGGAACAATGTTTAGCTAATGAGATCAGATATATATATCTCCTCATCTTATTTAGCTTCTTGGAGGACAGTAATAGATTTCAGGAGTTCATTAACAAACTCCAGGTAAAATTTACCAGCTGTTTCTAAGAGTCTTTCTGATAGCTCTAACATGGCAGTAACAGATCAAACAGTTGTCTCCAAATTCAGAATCTACCTATGATACGTTTAGAGCTCCCAGGGAGTTAGGCCTGTGATGTGGCTTATGAAAATTTTTGTCTGTAATGCCCTGATTCAGAGCCAGGCTTGCAGAAAACAAAGCTTTTGGCACAAAAAGTGGTGGGGGAACTTCACATTCACTGATTTGCCTCTCTGTTTTACTGAGAAACATGGTTTACTTCTGCTTTAAGTACATATTGAAGTAGATTATTGATGGTTCTTCAGTCAACATAGGCTTCTGAGGTCAATACATTTTGATGCATGTCTCCTTAATGCATGAAGTCATAAATGGTTATCACCCAAAAGGGAGTGGAGATTTCTGGTTCAGCAGCTCATAAAGACCTCTGGGGAGCAGTTTCTTTAGCACAAAAACATATTAAGTCAAATTCTGCTACTTACATGAGGGAGGAAGACAAACTTTGCCAACTTTCGAATAATCTGGTCTTCAGAAGACTACTGCAGGCTATTGCTATACACAGAATTTATCAAGAAAATATGTCCCCTAAGAAGACACCACCTAGTATTCATTGAGCAACACAGATGTAAAACATGAAATACAGATGAATCTTAAGTGAACTTAGTTAATATTTGGAAACGCTAATCAGACAGAAATTCTGTGGGGTTTTGTGTTATAGAAGACTGGCTCCTACTGAAGTGATATGGGGAAGCAAATTTGTTTTTACACCTCAAAGTCCTGGCCCACAAGGAGGACACTGAGGACCTAGACGATGCTAATGAAAGAACTACACAACTTTCCTTGTATCTCTTACCTGTGGGACACTTGAGCAGCAAAGAGGAAGACAATATTCAGATGACTGTCTTGCTAGCCTCCACGGAGAGCCCATGACCACCCTGAAAAGTGTCATTTATATATGTGAAAACATCTGTACAACGTATTCTATTGCGACCAGCAAGGTTTTTAGAAGGATGAAATATATTCTAAATACTGGCCTAAATAAGCCAAGCAGATACGTTTTGGGGAGTGTAGTTTGACAATTAAAAAAAAAAAAAAATCACGTACAATGATTATTAAATATATAATGATATAAAACATAATTCTGTCTTTTGTTCAAGTATATAAATGCATATCTGTCACATAAATTACTGGATATTGGTTTATTTTTACTGATACAACTTCACAGGGTAGTGATAAAGGGAAAGAGGAATAATGGTTTTCTAAAAGAAGGCATCAATACCAACCAGTCTTCAGAGGTAGCACTGCAATGACATGAATATTAACTAAAAATAGATAAAATTTACAGAACTCCAATGTATCAAAGAAAACAGAATTGGACCTCTCATGCCTCTTCCCACTTACAAAATGGAGATGGACTTATTAGCTATGCTATTCCTGAGCACCACCACAGAAATATATGAAGTTGCATGAAAACTCCATTTAGCTTTATGGTCCAACATAATCCCCAATTATCCAAACACAGGTCTGCAGACATTGAGACAGCATGTGTCTATCTGTATGTGGAACTTGTAACTTTTATTTATGTACACATATGCAAATTTGCAACATAAACTGAAGTTATAAAATTTGCATACTTCATTTTGTTCATTATAAAATTTCAGATATTCTAATAAGGAGTGAATTTAGAGGGTCATTAAAATCAGATATAATGCACTGAGTTACGTATTGAATGTGCATTTTGAGTCATATACTATTGTCCTTATTTAAAAAGCATTACCTATTTGTGTATCTGTATGAAGTCTGTGCCCAGCTGACCCTTCCCAAATGAGCAGTGTATCTGAGACTAGCTCCCATTCTGACATTTAATCCACTAATTCACAAGATAAACTGAGCTCCCCTTGCTAACTCTGAGGAGAAAACCTTTCAGGACTATGCCTCAGGAGTGTAAGAAAATAAAATCTTCACCCTCAGAGTGAGAGAAAGAAGAGAACTAATGAACTTCTGGCTACCAAATACAATGCTCCCAATGCAGCATCTTCTGGCCACAGTGGCCCGCAATGAAAGTGATATTGTTCTGGTGTGCTTTAATCTAGGTCACAGCTGACAACACAAATCTACGTTACCAAGTCTAAAAAGTCATCAGATGCAAACCACATCAACACAAAAATTATTTCCAAGAGACTAATGCTTTGTATAAGAAACAGTACTGTCACCTGTTTGATAACATACATTTGTAGAAAATAACCCATATAGTCTTGGTGTGATTCTGCAAGCAGTAGATATAAACCCCAAGTCATTAGTCTTCTTGAAGCATTCCTGTAAAAAGGTCTACAGGAACAAATGCCAGATATAATCACTTCAAATAGCAGACAAGTTAGGATCCACTGAATTTCAGCAAATCTTTACGTTTTCCACAAGCCTTATCATTATACAGCTACTGCAGTGATAAACTGTAATAAACCATTTTCCTACACTAGTTCAAAATGCATTTTTCCCATCTTACCATTTGTCTAAAAAGGATCTGAAAGTAGGTCATAATTTCCATGTACTTGTTTAATATGCAGGAATTTTCACCCAACATTTTTGCAGAAGCCTCCCATAACCATGAGAGACACGGGAGTGTTAAATATTCAAAGTTTATTTTGATATAAAATGATCAGTGATAACTTATTTATGGTCCTTAACAAGATGTGATTATGAAAGAACAATAGTTTCAGCACCACAAAGGAATCACCAAAATGATCACAAAGGTACTTGATGTGGGTCTGTTTGAAACCCATGTTAGGGTCTGTCAAATTACATTAATTTTGTAATTGCTGAATCTTAAAATCCACTTATTCTCAGAAAGAGTGTAGTTTAATCCTCTCTAAATCGGTTCATAATCAAATAATACTGGTAAAATATGAGGTTATTAATGCAACATTTTTAACATTAAGGAAAACAAAGAATACTGATTTCCCTCTGTCGCAATGTGCCACACCCACACTTAATAAAAATAGACCGATTAAGAAGTAACCTCTGAGCTCTGCAGAAAACAAGCACCTGCAGTAAGACAAATAAATGACACACTACAAAGCTGTAATTAACTGGACAGGGACTGGTTCTTTGGAATATCTCTTTCAATCGTATCAGGTACATTTAGCGGGTTGTCGGCCACAGAGGCAAAATACCCATATCCTCTCCTGCACCACAGAAAAAAGCAATGCAAGTAAAGCCTAAACAAAAAGACCTAATTTAATCTCCTCTGAGGGACAGCAATATCTCCTGAATCAGCTGAGCGGGAGCATTTTTTTCTGAAGCTGTTGCCTCTAAGATGTGATACTAATGCAGAATACAGATAAGCATTAAAAATACCCACAAGCACAAATAGTTTCCCACACACAACATGCAAGGTTCCAGAGCTATATTCATCCGAGAACATGGGAAACATTACTGTACAAATAACACTAGTACTTTCTCAGACACTAAAATACAAAGACTGGTGTTACCATTACAATAGCATTTGAATTGTGAACATTATTTGAGAAATATGGTGATACTGAAGATTAATAACATTTTTATAGTGCAGATGGGAAGGAAAAGAGTTTATTATTAGCAACAGAATAAACTGTACTTTCTATCAAGAGGCCTCTAAACTGTGAGCAATGTAGATAATTTTTGTATGAAGCATTCCAATGGAAAAATAGAAGCTAAAACAATAAAAAAAATTTACATTCTGTTTGGGTGAAAACAAGCTCTGTGTATCATTAGTCACTCTATATAAAGAAGCTGATGTTATATTACATTTGATTTCATTGCATTAAGGAGCAAAGATCTGATCAAATCAAGTTAATGAATGCTTCTGTCCAACTACTAATGATGATTAAAGAAAAAGGAGAACTTTAAATTCTTTAAAAGGATTTCAAGCAGATTGCAAATACATATTTATTAGGACAAAAATACTGAATATTAACTAAATATTGCAAAAGACCTTTTAAACTGGAAAAATGAGGCAATATATCCAGAAATGACGCTACCGCTCCAACCTTAAGATAGCACTGTTTTAGCGAGTACTACAGTTTTAGCAGGAATTAAAACTAAAAGATCATCCTTCTGCATCAAAAAACTAAAATCTGGAAGCTGTAATATCATCCCATGATGAATGCAGTTGCCCTGTTCAAGTCCAGCACATATCACAGCACCTGGAAGCAGTTTAGTTGCTTCTTTAACATTTTAGGCACTACTACAGTCTCTCCAATCCAATTCCACCAAGAAATGGCAGTATTTAGTAATATTTATCCACTCTCTTTTAAAAAGAATATCCATCCACTGAACCCTCCCTTGAACTACAAATTACTCCTAAAGGTGTAGAAATACCTAGTGCAGTTTCCTCCTGGTATCTCATGGAGTATGCATTGTACATATCATGTCTAAAGTAATATATCTGTTGTTGGGAATACTCACTGGGATATACAACTGAGCACGTCAGTTGATTTCTCAAGTTATCTTTGTCTTTCTAAGAGCTCTTTACAAAACACCTATGTAATCTTCTCCCCAAACGATCCTAATTAATTGCTTTTATGATAGGATCTCAGCCTCTTGGCTACGGCCATTAAAAGTTTTTGTATCAGAAGTCCTGATCTCCTCCTCCTGGCCAAGTTCACCCTCCCGCCATATCCATCAAAGCACTTTTTCAGCAGTACCTCTGGATTCAAGTTTTCTGTGAGCAGTTACCACCATCCACTCCTGAACTGTGGACTGTCCTTGTAAGCAGCTCCCCAGGAGTGGCAGAGACACTCTGCACAGCAGTCATGCCATCATCTGTGATATCCTACCAAGGGGTTCCTGGTAAAACAATCTCTCCTAGTGTTGTGGTTTGAGCCCAGAGGGCAACCGAGCACCGTGCAGCTGTTCACTCAACACTTCCCCCCTCAGGAATCAGAAGGGAAAATAAAGTAAAAGGCTCTGGAATTGAGATAAAGACAGAGAGGGATGATTCACCCATTATGGTCACAAGCAAAAGACAGAGTCATTACAGGAAGACAAAAAAAGAACATCACTTCAATACAAACACTAGCAATAACAACACTTAATGGAGTGGGACTGTGTTAAGCATTACCACATCTTAAAAACACCCTCCTCCCATCCCTTCTTTCCAAGGCTTAGCTTCACTCCCACTATCTCTTCCTCCCTTCTCCTCAGCAGTAGAGGGGGCAGGGAATGTGGGGTGCAGTCAGTCCTGCTGCTTCTTCCTCCTTGGTGGGGAGGAAACGCTTTGCATTCTTCCTCTACTCCAGCATGGTTCCCCTCTCACAGGAGACAGTCGTCCATGAACTTTCTCTGATGTGAATCCCTCCCACAGGCTGCAACCATTTCCATGCTGCTCCAGTGTGGGTTACCCCACATGTTGCAATGCTCCAAGCACCAAATTACAACAGCAGTGGCTGCTTCTCCCCACGGAGTCCCAGCCTTCTTTGTGTGCAGCCACCTGCTCCAGTGTGGGGTCCTCCACAGACCTCAGGTCAACATCTGCTCTATCGTGTACCTCCATGGGGGCAGGAGGGGTGACCTGCCATTTTGGTCTGGAATACAGGGAGGGCAGGTCTCTGCTCCAGCGCACTTTCCCCCCTTCTCTTCCTTTCTTCCACTGACCTCAGTGTTTGCACAGGTGTCCTCCTTGGAACTCCTCCTCACAACTCCCACTCCTCCTCCCAGATTCCCCTTACTAAATTCTCGTGGAGGCACAGCCACTGTCACTAATTGGCTCAGCCTTGGACAGAGGCAGGTCTGATTTGGAGCCAGGGGAGCTTCAAAAAGCTTCTCACAAAGGACCACCACTGTAACCCTCTTTCCTGCTACCAAAAGCCCCACCACACAAACCCAGCAGCACACTTACCAACAGCAAATGTACCTTAAATGGCAATTCCCGAACCTCTTCAG